ATATTTCTTGAATTTTCAATTTCATTATTAGATATTTCATTTTCCAAAGGGAAAATTGCAGTTTTCTTCTATCAATTTCAATAATTTGGACATTTATATGTCATGTGAATCTGCTGTAGCCATATAGAGAGATCCCATCAAAAACCCGTGGAACAAATTTATTATTATTAGTAGAATCCATTATTATTATAACAAATGGTTTAATTAATAAGGGGACAATACTCAAATCTGTTGTAACAAGAAATGTGCTGTGGCGAGGTCCACTGTGACGAGGTTTGACTGTAATATATAAAAAAAAATTAATAAATGGTGGTTAACCAGTTAATTTAACCGGTTAATTTTAACTGGTTAATCAAAAAGAATTAACCGGTTAAAAAAAGATCTTAACCGGTTAACGGTGCCAACCCCTAAATTGTTCCATGGTCCTCTCTGATGATTAGTGGCTGGCCACTAATCATTAGTTAGGAAACCCCCTCCCCCCATTTGATTGTTCTATGCTGCTTGTAGGGACACCTCAAGTGGTATAGTTGTAAATATTTCTTGTATATATTCTTCTTATTTTATTATCTTAGGCTAGTGCCAACAGTACTTGGTATTAGTACTGAAAGGAAGGGAAAGCACATATAGATAGCTCCTATTGGTGAGCGGAATTGGTTAGCTCCAGGGTGAGCAGTAAAGTGGGCAAGACAGGAGGATATACATACATACATATATATTATTGGACAAACATAACCTTGAAAAAATTTACTTAAAAAAGTTTTATCTTATATTTTTATTGGACACATCATGAGCTGTATTATACACACTTGCACTACTTACTGTAAAAAGGTGATTGGTTTACTAATAAAAGTGATTGGTTTGGTATTAGTAGAATTCAAAAAGGGAAAATATTATATATAGAAAGGTTCTTTTTATGAAATATACAGAACCCACCAAAAATGGCAATTCATTCTACAAAAATAGAAACTAAATTGTAGCTCAAAATTTTTGTAAACCTATGTGACATTTATCAATGACATCTGGAAAATATAAAAAAAATTTGCATGTGTCAATTGTAAGTGCAAAACTTATGTTGATGCTGTAAGATTTACACAATATTACATTGGCACTGTAAGATTTACACAATATTATGTCAGCATCATAAGATTTATGCAAGTTTATGCTAAATTAATTTCCTGATGGATGTGATGATTAAATTTGTGGGCTGGGGGTGGCAGGAATTACAGAGTGTTTACCAAATCTAATAATTAATTCTTATTTGTCACATAAGGTTCTGAGCATAATGGACATTCGAAATGTTACACTAATTTTTTATGTTGTGTACTGTAATTTTACAATACACTGTGAATGTTGTCTTAATAAAAAATTGCCAATAAAATGGGTTTCAATTTGTTCACAGTTTGTTCACGAACCTAGAGAGGTGACAACTATATACTGGTGAAGTTTCAGGAACAATGGGCTCTGTGTAATGATGAATGTCCACTATGCTAAGGTTCTGTATATTTCATAAAAATAACCTTTCTGTATATAATATTACCCTTCAAAAAGAATGTAAAATAGGGATATTTACTCCAAAAATAACAAATTGAGGGCTGGTTACACATATCAAGGCAGCAAAAAATGTAACAAAATTTTCAAAAATATACCCCAAAAGCAGTCTAAAATGGTGTAACCTTGCAGTAATCAGTGGATATGTATATACATTTATTTATTGTTATTGTTATTGAATTTTTCAGTTACCCCATATATTTGAATTTCACAGATGCATTTATAAATTAAGGCATATACAGTCAAACCTTGTAATTAAATTCTTGTCACATATAAAAACATAAAAAATCTGTTGTGGCAAAATTACTAATTATAATTATAATCTTGTCACAATGGATTTTTTATGTTTTTATATGTGTCCCATTTATCCACTGTGACAAGGTTTGACTGTATATCAGGTATTTTACAGCAATATTTTCTCCTTGATCTTTCAATAAAAACAACCTTAAAATTCATCTGATCCAATGAAATTACCTGGTCCATCAAGCATATATTCAAATTATCTGCAGGTGTTTCAGGAAATGAGGAGGATGGTGCTAGGATATAACATGTTCTACAGTTTGATTATTCTCATCACATTTAATAATACTGCAACAGGTCCTCCTTGCTTTTATAAATATACATAAAGATACTATTGATCATAATCATAATCTAATAATAACACTTGTTGCTAACAATAATTCTGATTTGTCTTTATGCTATTGTTGACCTAGTTGTGTCACTTTCAACATGTTTTGGACCAACCTTGAATTTTACAAAACCTAAATTTTTCTAATAATTTCATTCTTTGTTTTTCTGTTGTAAGAATTTCCTTACATAAGCAGTGGCCCAGTCTTTCAATGGTCTAGATTCAAGAACTGATACGATATTAATTGAATTGTCAGCAATTTTAAAGTCTGTCTACTTCTTATAATAATAGTCATAAATTTAATAGTGACATTTTACAATAAATGATATAAGGGTAAATAAAATTATACAAATAATAAAAATGTCAGGCTCAATTCTAAATTCAATAATTTCACAGTTTATGTTTATTAGCAATCAGCAGCTTTGGTGGCTTGATTCACTTCTTGATAAGAAAGAAGAAAAATAACACAAAAAAGTATTAATAATTTGTGATACGTGATAATAGATGATCAGCAATTTTTATTCTCAAAATTATAATAAGGGTAATATTATACAGAAAGGTTCTTTTTATAAAATATACAGAACCTATGTAACAAATAAGATTTAATTCTTAGAGTTGGTAAACACTCTGTAATTCCTGCCGCCTCCAGCCCACAAATTTAATCATCACATCATTAATAAATGTCACGTTAGTTTTACAAAAATTTTGAGCTACAATTTAGTTTCCTTTTTTGTGGAAGGATGAATTTCCATGTTTGGTAGGTTCATAAAAAGAACCTTTCTGTATATAATATTTTCCTTATAATAAACTTTATAGCTAGCTTGCATTCATATATTAAAAAAAATTTTTTGTACATACAGTATATAAAATTTCTATTTAAAATGTTGCATCTTGAGGAATAATTGATTGCTAGATACTCAGCAGAAATGAAAAAAGATGTAGCTGATAAAATGTTAACAAATTACAATAAATGAATTTTCAAGTAATTTATCACATAATTATTAAAATTAAATCATGATATAAATCCAATTAGAGTGATACATCACCTTACTAATAGTTTAATATTAACAACTTGCTTTTGCTGTGAACTAATTTCCTGCCTACTATAAGAAATTAATTTATTTGAACTATGTTATTATTAATACAATCTTTAATAAAATTATAAATAATAGAAAACAAGATGATTATTTTAACTCTTCTGTAAATTATTTCCCAGGACTTAATGATGAGAGGAGAAGTTACATGGTCAAGTTTTGGATAGTTACTTATCTGAACTATTTACCAGTTCCCAGGACTTAATGATGATGGGAGAAATCATGTGGTCAAGTTTTGAATAGTTATTGTAAGAGGTACACAAATAATCTAGGTTTTTTTAATTTCAAAAACCAGAGATACTCAAAAGTAAAGTTGGTTTTTTTAATTAATAAAAAATAATTTTTTTAAATAAAGGCAATTTTATGGTTCTAATTTATCTAAAAATCACGTTATTTTTTTGTTTGTGGATATTTTGGTCATGTTATCTTAGAAGTAGTATTCCAATTCGTCGATTTTGTCCCAGATCAACATATAGATTTTTATCTACTTCACATACGTATCACGAATTAAAATGGATACTAATAGTGCACAAACTAAAACAATCACTCAAGATCAAATAATAAACCCTTGGAATGTCAACGGAGCTGTTGTGGATGGAAAACAGCAAGCAATTGATTATGATAAACTGATTGAGCAATTTGGTTATCAAATCAACTTTATAGCTAACTGCATTCATATATTAAAAAAATTTTTTTGTGTATATTGTTTAAATATAAAATTTCTATTTAAATGTCTAAAGGTAAAGAATTTTCACCAACACTTGCATCTCAAGGAATAATTGACTTTAATTTACACTATGGACCTTTTGCTCATCACTGGTGGCACGAAATTTCTACTGAAAATGGCTCAGAATTTTATCCTATTTGTTTAGGAATGACAATTTTAACTGAACTAAATAGTAGAAAATTTTTGCTTCATATTATTATGATAAGATCTAAAAGTTTACACCTGAGGATATGTATAAAGAACTTATTGAAGAATCTGTTCATAATAATGAAATTCCTAAGGTAGAAACTATATGTAATCGGGTTTCTAGTTACTCAGCAGAAATGAAAAGAGATGTAGCTGATAAAATGTTAACAAATTACAATAAATGAATTTTCAAGTAATTTATCACATAATTATTAAAATTAAATCATGATATAAATCCAATTAGAGTGATACATCACCTTACTAATAGTTTAATATTAACAACTTGCTTTTGCTGTGAACTAATTTCCTGCCTACTATAAGAAATTAATTTATTTGAACTATGTTATTATTAATACAATCTTTAATAAAATTATAAATAATAGAAAACAAGATGATTATTTTAACTCTTCTGTAAATTATTTCCCAGGACTTAATGATGAGAGGAGAAGTTACATGGTCAAGTTTTGGATAGTTACTTATCTGAACTATTTACCAGTTCCCAGGACTTAATGATGATGGGAGAAATCATGTGGTCAAGTTTTGAATAGTTATTGTAAGAGGTACACAAATAATCTAGGTTTTTTTAATTTCAAAAACCAGAGATACTCAAAAGTAAAGTTGGTTTTTTTAATTAATAAAAAATAATTTTTTTAAATAAAGGCAATTTTATGGTTCTAATTTATCTAAAAATCACGTTATTTTTTTGTTTGTGGATATTTTGGTCATGTTATCTTAGAAGTAGTATTCCAATTCGTCGATTTTGTCCCAGATCAACATATAGATTTTTATCTACTTCACATACGTATCACGAATTAAAATGGATACTAATAGTGCACAAACTAAAACAATCACTCAAGATCAAATAATAAACCCTTGGAATGTCAACGGAGCTGTTGTGGATGGAAAACAGCAAGCAATTGATTATGATAAACTGATTGAGCAATTTGGTACGAAACGAATAGATAAAGATCTACTTGAAAGATTTGAAACTTTGACTGGAAAAAAATGTCATATATTTTTAAGGAGAGGAGTGTTTTTTTCTCATAGGTTCATACACATACACATACATATATCTATTATTGCGCATATTATATGATTTCAATATTTGTGTATTATTATTTTTATAACATTTTGTCAATAGAGAACTTGGTATGATTTTGGATCGTTATGAAAAAAAGAAACCATTTTTTCTTTATACAGGCCGTGGTCCAAGTAGTACTTCTATGCATCTTGGACACATGGTTCCATTTATTTTTTGTCAGTATGTAACTTTTTTTTTTGTAAGATAATTGTTTTTTTTTGAAGTCCAATCGATAATTAATTATATAGTTACTTAATTTAGGTGGTTGCAAGAGGTTTTTGATGTACCAATTGTTATTCAACTAACTGGTTAGAATATAATATTTGATATAAGATAATATATGATTTTATAAAAAATTATTTAAAAATTATTTTTTCCAGATGATGAAAAATTTCTGTTCAAGCCAGACCTTACTCTGGAAAAGGCTAATCAGTTTGCACGTGAAAATGCTAAAGATATCATTGCTTGTGGTTTTAAACTTGAAAAAACTTATATTTTTTCAAATCTTGATTCAGTTAGGTTGTTAAATTATAATAATAATATAACCGTTTTTATAATTGATATGATACAATTGGTTAATTTATCACTGACCATCATAAATTTTATACATAAATTTTTTAGTAAAGCATTTTATCATAACATTGTAAGAATTTCAAAGTGTATCACAACAAGTCAATCAAAATCAACATTTGGTTTTAACGATAGGTCTCTTATCAATTAATTATTTGAAATGATTATACAAATTGTGAACTTATTATTGATTAATTATATATTTCATAAAGTGATTGCATCGGTAAAATTCATTTTGTCGCAGTCCAAGCAGCACCATCATTTTCTAATACTTTTCCTCAAATATTTGGTACCAAAAGTGACATTCCTTGTTTGATCCCTTGTGCGATTGATCAGGTAAGCCATTGAGTACTCGCATGATGAGGTTTTTTTACACATAATTGATCAATAAGAAAATAATACAATAATAATGTAATATAAATTTAGGATCCATATTTTCGTTTAACACGGGATGTTGCTCATAAACTTAAGTATCCAAAACCAAGTTTAATACATGCTAAATTTTTTCCTGCTCTACAGGTAAATTTAAACATGTTATTTATTACATATACATGATTTGTTAAATTTATTTTGTCATCATCATTATAAATGTAGGGATCACAAACAAAAATGAGTGCTTCTGACAATAACTCGGCAATATTTATGACAGATACTCCAAACCAAATTAAGTCAAAGGTTTGTATCTTATATTGGATAATTTATAAAACTGAAAAGATTAGTAATGAATATCATCTTATACTTAGATCAATAAATGTGCATTTTCTGGTGGTGGTGATACCTTAGAACTTCATAAACTTCATGGCGGTAATCCTGATATAGATGTTGCATATCAATATTTGTGCGTATTCTTGGATGATGATGAAGAGCTAAATAATATTTACAAGGTATATTTTTTTATATTTTTTTCAAGCATTGAAAATAAACTTATATATATATATATATATATTCATAGAATTACAAATCTGGTGAATTGTTGACTGGCCAGTTAAAAGCACGATGTATTCAAGTATTACAAAAATTTGTCGGTGATTTCCAGAAGGTATGTAATATAATATAACCTTTTTTTTTAGAAAAAAATAAAAGACTAAATAATAATAATATTTTATTTTATAACTTGCTTATATAGCGTAAATCAGAAATTAATGATGAATCATTAAACGAATTCATGGATTCCAATAGAAAAATTCACGTGTAAATAATATTTTATTATAACAAAATTAATATTTATCTTATGTTGTGCTGTTGTTGTGTGTGGATAAATAATTAGAGTTGTTTTTTCATTCGAAGTGTCCCCAAAAGATGATTTGTTTATATCTGGCTGATATAATCAAATTTTTCAAAAGATAAATAATATTTATTATGCTTAATCTCCCCTACTCCTTATATGAATCTTGATACAGAATCATTACTTGTAATTTGTGTGATTAATTGATTTGCAGTATTAGTATTAATACTTTCATGTGCATCATCTAATCCCATTATATTTAAAATGTTTTGAACCTCTTGAGATTTTCTTATATTCAAAATTTTTGAAAAAAGCCATTAGTAAAAATACCTTCTTCAAGCTCTTTTTCAAGTACAAGGCATGTATCAGTTGAAGATTCGTTGTTCAAAATGGGATTTCCATTGAATTAATTAAATAATTTAACTCGTTTACAATTCATCTTTGTTATTGTCAACAAAAAAAAATCATTTAATTTACATAATCTCATTGTTTCTTCAGCGACCTCTTAACAGAATCATCTATTCCATTATTTGTTGGCCACTGGCGTAGGTAGTATTTTAATATCATTTTTTAATTTTTAAAAATAACTTCTCTTGATGTAAAATTTTTATCACGGCATGATTCATCATTATAGTTAACATCCAAATAATTATAATAATCATTGTAAATATCTTTCATAATTATTATATTCATCTTTACAACCTTTATCTTTATCATTATTATGCTTTACTTCACAACTACTATCATCATACTCTGCGAATTCGCATTTTTTGTTAATAATTTATATATAGTTTGTGCTAAATTTATATTATCATTAGATAAACTTGAGTCTATTATAACCTTTTCTTTTGCTTTTTTATTGTGGTTTAATTTTTTACCCAAACATAAATAATAATATTGAGTGACCTTAATTTTTTATATCAATCCTTACTCTTAGAAGCTTACCTTTAATATTTTACCCTATTTTTGCCGGTCCTGTACGCCCCATAATAAGTAAAGATTCTCTCGTCATACATACCAAGTAAAAATTATTTTTTATAAATGACAGGTGGTTCATTAAGACATAGAAATTTGGGTGTTGGTGATATTGGCAATGCTGTGGATACTGTGGTTGATGATCATAATTATAGAAATAGTAGATCAAGACAAAAGAGACAGTCTCTTGCATCTCGTTTAATAAGATTATTTATTTGGACAGTATTAGCAAGTTTAATATTTTTATTGTTTAATGTTCCAGATCAAGACAGTGATGATTTTTTTAATGATCTTTGGGAAAAAATTTTATCATTGAAAAAATGGAAGAGGCAAGTATTGTTAATACTAAGATTTATAATTACCATGTGTTTATTTTTTTAAAATAAAAATAAAACATTAATAATTATAACAAATTTTTTTTCTAAAGAGATCTTTTAAAATTTTCAAGTGTTTGTCTTTCTCTTACTTTTATTAATTATATATTTTTGGAATACATTCAACCATTTATGAAAAATACTCAAAAACCCAATTATAAATATTGGCAACAAGATAAAAATTTAAAGAAATATATAATTTTAGCTACAATTACTGGCACGGTTGGTTTAACAGGAATGTCAGTTAGTTTGTGGGATGTTTGGGGATTTTTTGGGGCACCTTTAGTGATATCTTCATTTTTAATGGTTTTTGTATCATTGCTGAATATAATTTTATAATGTTTTCTTAATATTAATATTAAATAATAAGAATAAATAATCACTCTTTAATATCAATTAAATTCACCTTTAACACAAATTCCTAAAACATTATTCCACTAATTTCTAATCAGAAATCAATGTTATTGAAGGTTTAATGATTATCAGCAAACAATATTAACCATCATTAATTTAATTTTAATCAAAAAAAGCAATTTTTATTGACAGATTTTAAAAATACTTCACAGGGAAAGGAAATGAATCCAATAATTTGATTTTAATTTTCCAGAATAAAAATTTTAATATCATAATATCTGGTGCGATGTTTGTGTTGATGTAATAATAAATTCTGTTTTTTTTGTTACCTTTAATTCAAATAATTACGCATGTATTGTGAGATCAAAATCCGCGTCTCACACAAATCTCTTGATCTTCAATAGTATAAGATAGCTCTAATGATGATGGTATTAGACTAATTTGTCCTTTATCTAAATAATATATTGAAATTATTCCACTTGACTGATATAAAGAAAATTCAGATTATAATTTCATATCAATGTGTAAGCCATAATAATTAACAATGATAATTTGCTTGGTAAAAACAAAACTATTTTTCAATAGAATATCCTCCAGTTTTTCTGTTGTTTCTCATTATTATTGAAGGATTGATTTAGAAAAATCCATCTTGAGAATTTTGAAAAATCATTATAAATTTGTGTATAATTACTATAAAGTTTATTTTCATATGTTCAATCAAACAAAGTTCGAACCTTGGAACCTCCTTAGTCAAATATTAACGTGATATTTTCAATATAGATTTTTATCAAGTATTTTCACAAGGTCGAATTTTTTAAAAATCCCATCTGAAGAAATATGAAAATATCTTATCAGAGAATGATATCTTCTAATGAACTTTTCAAATTAAAAAAATCCGAAACATCAGAATGTTTAGCAAATTCTCATTTATAAAGCGGAATTATCACTAATATATTTGTGTAAGAATCGATTTTCAATAGTGGCAAACATCAGAAAATCATTTAATTATTTTATCATATTCGAAAGAACTCCTTTATAAACCAGATTTATTTAAAAATGGGTACTACGCCACTTACACGCATTTATCTATTATACATGTTTATTTTTTTATATGGCAAAGCGAGTTATTTTGAGAGATATTTGCCTACCACCACCAATTTTCAATTATCCGTATTAGATAATTGATTGTGGTCTAAGTTCAAGAAATAAGAGGATTCCATGAAGAAGAGGAAGTTGTAAATTGTACAAGATTCCTCCCACGTTTCATTCATGCCATTAAATATGATTTTTATCAAATATTGATGAAAGTTCGTCCGTCAATTAGAAAACTAGATTTAACTATATAAAATTGATATGCCATTTCCATACTAAAGAATTTTTTCACAAATTTGAGTTGCATTGCGATGACACATTTATATTATCAATTAGCATTAATGTATTCAAGTAAACTTTTCATTAATAAAGATGATTAATATAACGAAAATGCTAGTCTAAAGCCTAATAATATTATTTGTAATTTTGGAAATTGTAGAGCTTACTGGTCGAATTGTTCGAACCATTTGAATATTCGAATATAAGATTTTCAGCGAATTTAATTGAAAAATTTTCCATTGGATGATTTAAACAACAATGATTTTTACAACGACGATTCTTATTCTGCCCTTTCACTTCCCGGACCTTCTATGTGATTAGATTCAGATTCAACTACCACATCTGAAACTATAATGGCAGTACAACAATTTTCTCCTGTTTTAATTAGTTCTAACTAGCCACAAAAAAAAGGTGCAAAGAAAACTCACAATCAACTAGAATGTGGAGCTAGAGATCATTATAATTTAATAGGTGAACATGATGAGTTTGCTAAGTGTAAATTTTGTTCCAATAATCGAAAAGAGAAAATGTTTAAACATAATAAATCTACATGTAGCCTTTCGCATAATAATTTTCAAGTTGATTTTTATTATGAATTTAAATAAAAAAATGCTTTGAAATTTTAAATTTAAATTTATATAATTTCGATCAAAAAAATTTTCGACTATGATTCGAATCGATTCGAACCAGTTTATGCGTAAGTTCTAGAAAATTGTGCTGGTAGTAATGATATCTATACAAAAGTATTTAGAATGTGTAGTATATAGATCCGATTATGATATTAATTTGGATGAAGAGGATCATGAACCACACGAAGAAATTGGTAAAGCATTAGTTAAAGTTTCAAGTTCAATAAAATATTTTATTCTTAATGGACAATCATTACGCTCGTCACCAGGAACAATTGAAGTTTGGTAGCATTAGAAATTTCGGTGGATGATGATATAGATATCTTTTCAAAAATATGACTACAGTCTCCGGCGAAAGTAATGGCGGTGATAATTTTTTTAAAAACTAAAAATTTTTAATAAGCAACTATCAATAAA